TTGGTCTCCTGTTTGTAAGACCAGTGACTGCTATGCCTTCTATTGCCCCAGCCACTGGTCTTGGCACATCCCATCTGTAGTTCTTTCCCCAGGAAGCAGTGATGTAATTCAGCCCCACCTGCAGTGATGGGCGGACTGAGACTCTAAGACACATTCAACATGTACAAGCCTAGTGTACCCACCCACTTTCACTTCAATTCTCTGTGGTTGATGGGAACTGTAGTTTTTTATTTTACTGCAGAGACAGAGGAGAGAATTTGATGTAATCCCTGCTGTTACACCTCCTCCTTGACAGAGCAGATGTTGTTATCTTTTGAGATGAGGTCATGAAATTCAATTAAAGTTTTCTCCTAAATGGTAAGGATTTTCAAAATGTTATTAATTGTTTAGAGTTTTGTGCAGAGGGGTGTACTAATGGGTAATATTTTTTGCCTATCCCAGAGTTCTTCTTTAATGTATTCTATGCATTAAGGTAAAAAACTTTCTGCATGCAGCCCACCACCAAATACTTACCTGAGCTCGATCTCAATCCAGGGATGTGCGCAAGAGTAGCTGCAGAGAGGCAGAAGAGAGAATCTGCTGCTGTCAATCACACCCAGTAAAGAGAGTGCAGGGGCAGGGCCAAGCCACACTCTGTGTGTCAATGGACACACAGAGCCAGCTCAGGTGCAAGCATGCATGAGTGCCCTCATAGCAAGTGGCTTATTATAGGGGCACTCAACAGGAGGGATGAGTTGAGAGTGCCTGGTGGGGACCCAAGAAGAGGATCAGGGATGCTCTGTGCAAAACTATTGTACTTAGGAGGAAAGTATAATATTTGTGGGGTTTTTTTTATTTTACCTTTAGAATTATTTTAAGGTAAACAGACTGTTTACTTTGCAAGGGCATTTTCCCCAGAGCCTACTGAATGTTATGAAATTTTGCTTTGCAAAATATACTCAATTAAATGCAAGGAAAATAAAAACCAGTTTAGAGCTACTCCCATAGGAGCCGCAGGAATACTGTCCAGGTTTTCCCCAGTTACTTTGCCTCACACCCAAGAACATAGGCTCATTCTTCACACATTTCTACAATAACTAGTCTAGGAGTGGTTTTTTTTATTATTATTTTTGGAGAACTGACTTTGTCTAAATCTTCAGGACAAGCTATTTTGGAGTTCATGCTTGAGTCAAATAATGGACTTCAGCCTAAGGCAACAAGTAGTAGCAGCAACAGCAGTAATGTCTTTACAGCCCCAGAGCAGTGCCCTTTAAGTAGAGGGCAGGTGGACAAAGCTCTTCGGAACACCAGTCAGTATTCCTTTTGTTAGACCCACAGCTGAATTCCCAGCACCAAAGGGGTTAAACAGCACTCAGTCTCTAAGATCCTTAGGGATGTCTGTACTCACAAGGCCCGAGAGTAACTGGATGCCTTCCTCAGTGATACCAGACCAGTTCTTCAGGAGATAGCCCCTCAGTCAGCATAGCAAAACCCAGGTCTTGGCAATTCAGGCCCTCAGGTTGCCCACCTGAGGCCTATGGCAGCAACTGCCTGGGAAAGCAATGTGCCCTCTCCCAGGCTTGGGCAGCCCTAGGCAGGAAAGACCCAGAGCCCTGTGTGCTCACTCAATATTCTGTATGTACAGTTACCCAGCAAGCCTTAGATCCCCTTTTTTTGGGATAGTCTGAGGATGTATCAATATTCATGCTGCCATCTGCATAACTCTCCACATTTATTATCCTGAAAAGTCTCCAGTTTCCTGGATGCAGCAGAGGCTAGGCAGACTAGCAGCAGCAGAGCACACATAGCAGACCTAACTAAATAATCACAGCTCATCCAGTACAGTCAGCGAACTATGCTTTTTACCTAGCAATATTTACAGCCACTCTGACTATAGAGGGACAACTAAATTTACTTATCAAAAACACAACTAATCCTATCTAATCCTAGCACCTACCTTGGAATTCTTATTTGCAGACAATTGGATGATGACAGTCAACAGAGCTTCACCACATTCACCAAGCTATGGGGGAAATGCCCCTGCAAAGTGAAACTTCCCTTACAAAGTAAATTGCTTATTTATCTTTAGTATATCAACCCCAATGTGTTAGAGACTGTGTGTATATATGTGGACACATCCTCACATTTGCTGCCACAGCTTGTCAGTTATTACATTTTGAATGGTGTTCTGCTAAGACAAAACCCAAGTGTACATGAGAGAGTGAGAAGCAGCCACATCACTGTGATTGCCTATAATATTACAAAATGATGAATTGCCAAAGGCAACTGACCAAACTGGGGGACCTTAACAGATCTGCCACTGCAGTTTGATAAACTATGCAGCCAACATCTAGTCATTACCAGCCTGAGACTTTACAAATGAGTTTGAAATAGAGTTGTAATTACACAGGAATAAGTAAGTGACTTTTGAAGAGACTCGCCTCTCTGCGGGCATACTGACCTACAATGGATGTTTTCCATGTCTTTCTGAAATGAAGAAAAACCCTCTATGGGTCATTTGTAAAGGTGAAATATTTCAGAGACACATTGAATGCTGTACTTGCTTCTTATCTGGCTTAACATACTTATTTCTGCAACGTTAACCAATTTGTACAGTCAAGTGCATGAATGAGTATGTCAAGATGGTACTTTCTGGTGGGGAAGGTGGACTTTCCAGACCGACTACAATGTGAGTAATGGAACTGAGTGAGCAACCAATTACACACACAATTTTCTGCTGCTGGATAAAATATTAAGATGAAATTTAAGGTCTGTAAGTTTCAGTTTTTAGGCAGCTTGCCTAGTTTTGCTAGTGAGTTTAGAATCTTTCATCTGCTGTAAATCGCTGTTTGAAGTCACCTAAAATAATGCAAATTACATATGAAAACCAAATTCAAGTACAAATATATAAATATGTTGCTAGGTTTATCACTGCTGTGAAATCAGAATTCAGCCAGTATTTTCCAGTCTTGGATATGAACCTTTTTATTTCACTGGTGTTCAGTGTTATCTGTTGCTTTCATATGCATAATATAATCCTATTCTCAAAGCAGGAGATGCTGCAATTTTCAAATGAAAAAAAAACAGTTCTACATTGCTAAAGATATCAACATATCTAAACCCAAAAACAAAAATGTATCATATTGCAGATGCGGTGGCTGCGTTCCCTGATACAGACTATTACCTTCAATAACAAATGCGCCTACTGAGAGTGCTGTCTAAGGCTCCATGTACACAGCACACTTCTGAACGATGAAAACTGACTGCTGGAAAACGTAGGTTAAAAAACGTCTGTTAAGCCGCGTTTGCATACCGTTTATGAGCATTTACGTTTAGAAGTGTTTTTTTAAAGATAACCTCAGGAGTGCATTCCGAAATGCACTGAAAAACAGTAAAAAAATAACTATTTCAGACATTTTGAGAGAAAGAGAGAGCAGAAGCAGAGCAGAGAGAGCAGTATTTGTTGAGATTAGCTGTGTTTTTTTTTTTTTTTTTTTGTTTGGATGTGTTCCAGCTCATTTCTGTGCATAAATTATTGCAGCAGTGTCTAACATATTTTCTTTCATTCGAAACCTCAAGGTATGGTGTACCAGGTCCATTTCAGTACAGGGAAAATGCTTTGCATGCATTTTTCATGATGAAAAAAGGCTCTGGAAAGCATCTGGAAATGTTCAAATGCAAACGCTTATAAACGCGGTTAGCCGCATTTAGCCGTGTATACATGCGTTTGGCGTTTGAAATGGTGATAAAATCTACTCCTGAACGCAAGTTTGGTGCGTTCAAAAAAAAAATGACTGTAAACTCAATTGACTGTATACGATGATGTGTACATGGACACATCATTAGGAAAACATTAGGGAGAGTTCAGGGGCTGCTGATAAAAACGCAAAAAATTGAGTCAGGTTCCAGCTTGTGTGACAAACATGCCTCCCTTCATAGACGCAATGTAGACATGAGTGTGGACATGAAGGGACAGGACGTGTGCAAAGTGTGACAACTCAATTCCCAGAATGGCGTAGCATTATGGTGGGGAGTCATACATAAACTGTTATTTTTTATTTTCCATTACACATGTACAATAAAATCACAGTTACACATCCAGCTACAAACCCACAAACAGTAACCAAAACACACGATCTTAAACCAAAAAACAGAGTAAGTCTACACAACCCCTGCTTAAAAAAACACTTTTTGTAGCTAAATTACCCCTTTTTGGTGCATGTACATAAAAACAGACAAAAACCACCACCAAACAGAACAATCACAATGAGCGCATTTTGACATTGAAGTTGCACTCGCCTGGGTTGCAGACCAGTTGCCTTTACGTAGTAGAAGAAGAAAAAACTGGTGTGTATGTTGCGCTGTTGGTGGAAAATGAATGACAGGAATCTGGAGCAGCGGATTCATGTGAAATTTTGCATGAAAATTGGCAAAAGTAGGAACAAAACTATAACTCTGTTCAGCAGGCTTATGGTGAAGAAATGAAGAAATCAAATGTTTTTAAATGGTATAGGTGGTTTAAAGAGGAGCGGGAAGATGTCCATGACAACACACAAAGAAGTGGGCAGATAAAAACACAAAGGACAGATGCAAATGTGGAAAATGAAAATGTTACAAGAATCTCTTCAGAGGAAAAGACAAAAACTCTGGCCTGACAAGTGGATTTTCTGCTCCTACACGTGATGCCTTAAGTGTTTGTGAGTTTCCTGGCAGAGAAATCCATTCCAAAACGTAACCACTTGCCTACCGGGCACTTATACCCCCTTTTTTACCAGGCCAATTTTCAGCTATCTGCGCTGTTGCACTTTGAATGACAATTGCGCGGTCATGCAAGATTGTACCCATATAAAATTTTTAGCATTTGTTTCTCACAAATAGAGCTTTCTTTTGGTGGTATTTAATTGCTGCTGGGTGCTTTACTTTTTGCGCTATAAACAAAAAAATTGCCAAAAATTTGAAAAAAAAAAAAGTTTCTTTGTTTTGATTATAACATTTTTTCAAAACAGGTAATTTTTCTCCTTCACTGATGTGCGTTGATGAGGCAGCACTGATGGGCACTGATAGGTGGCACTGATGGGCACTGATAAGTGGCACTGATGGGCAGCACTAATGAGGTGACACGGATAGGCAGCACTGATGATGGGTACTGATAGACAGCACTGATAGGTGGCACTGACTGGCATCACTGCTGGGCACTGACTGGCGACACTGCTAGGCATTGACTGGCGCAACTGCTGAACACTGACTGGCACAACCGCTGGGCACTGACTGGTGGCACTGACTGGCAGCACTGCTGGGCTGCACTGATGGGCACTGGTGGGTGGCACTGGTGGGCACAGGTGGGTGGGCACAGGTGGGTGGCACTGGTGGGCACTGCTGGAAACAGGTAGGTGCACTGCTGGGCACAGGTGGGTGCACTGGTGGGTGGCACTGCTGGGCACCAATCATCAGGGCACTGATCATCAGTGCTCTGATGATCGGTGTCGATCCCTGCTCTGACAACTGCCGGTTCTCGGCAGTACTTTCCTCGCGCTCTTGGACACGGCTGATCACGTGGTAAAAGGCCGCTGTGATTGGCCTTTTACCACATCACGTGATCAGCTGTGTCCGTAGGACACAGCGATCATGGAGATCACCAGGTGCGCACAGGAGAGCACGTTCTGGGAGGACGTCATATGACGCCCTCCCAGAACTGGCCGGCCGCAGTGTAGCCGTCATTCGGTTATCTGTGGTTGGCAAGTAGTTAACCTTATTCCCCCTGACTTAGCACCTTGTATCTTTTGGCTGTTTCCAGAAAAAAAAAATACCTTAAAAAGGACACAGATTTGATGACGTTTTGGACATCCAGCATTCTGCAACACAAACGTACTGGAAAATGAATTCCAGGAATGTTTCTGGCAGCGGCATGCTCATCTAGAAAAGTGTGTCACTTCACAGGGGGACTTCTTTAGTGTATAGGTAACCAAACATTTTTTTTTTTAATGGCCGTTCTCAGAATTAAATTGCCACACCTCATATTATCAGAGGATTTCCAAATACAAATAAAGAAAAAAATCAGAAAAAAAAGGGAATACAGCGACTACTATTGTCTGGTAAGCTGCAATATGCACCCTTTTTGTTTTTGGGTTTACATAAACTTTAGCTTTTGTCCCATTCTCTGCCAGAGGATGAAGATAAAGATGCCTAAATCGTATAGAAGCTTTTTGCTTGCATGGAATTGGATGATGGTAGTCAGTTGTGTTTCACCTCATTATAAGTTCTGAGGATAATTCCCTTGCAAAGTGCATCCTACCTGTCAGCATTTGTTTGTTAAATATGAGTTTAAAGTAATACTAAACCCACAACAGTAAAATCAGTCTGTATATGCAGTAAAGCATGCTTGTTATACTCATGGTGGAACCTAAGGGGTTAATCTTCTGCATTGTGCAAAAAGGCTGTTTGATCCTTTCTTCTCTGCCCCTCATCTTGTTGAAATGGCCACCTGATACAGACTGAACCCATGGTCACATGCTCAGTTTGGTGTGTATTGCTAGAGAGGTTTTTTTTTTTGTTTGTTTTTTTGTTTTTCTTGGGAGGGTGTATGTGATCAGCACAGGGCCAACCAGCACTGTCCAGACAGAGAGTCAGAGATTTCACATCCTCCTAGAGCAGAAGGAAAACTCCTCCTACAAGCTATAACCAGTGCTCTGCTGAAGCCTGCTCTAACTGCTGATGAGAAAAGGTATTTAGCTGTTTATATTTACTAAAATCATTGCATTTCCATGTTGTGTGTACTGTGGGAGACCATATATAGTGAATGCAGGGTCCTGGGCTTAGTAACACTTTAATACTGCTTTACACTGCAAAAAACACATTTAAAGTGTGTGGGAGGAATACTCAGAGGAAACCTATGGAAACATGTAGTGAACATGTTAAATCCAGGGAAGTGAACCCACAGCTCAGCACTACAATACCAAAACATTAAGCCAGAGTACTAAGAATGTTTAGAAATCCTTTTTTACTTATTAATATTTTAGATGTAATAGTATTTTATTAGATTAAATGCAAGTAAGTCTATGTTGTTTTTCTTTTTTAATACCTTCTGTGCCTCACTAGTTGTAAGTGGAACATTTTAATAAACAGTTAATGGAATTGCTTAAAAACACTTTCAGAAGACAATAGAGCTAATTATCCAAGGCCCAGGTTTTCAAACAGACTATCTGGTACATTAAGCACCTCGTTATTAGAGGATTACTATCTAACTATGTTTATTATGGATAATTGTCTACTTTGATTTCAAATACCATCAAGTAGAGTAGTGGGAATGAAAATCTTGACTATAACACAGGTCTGTAAGTCATCACGGTGTGGTTCAGCACCACTGAATTGAATATCCAAAGCAGGATGGACTCAGAGAAATGATTTACAATTCAGTCACATATAATAAATATATATAACATATCAATTAATTAAAATATGTCTTGGCTCCTTCTCATCTCTCAGTTTCTTCTACAATGGTCCATTCAAGATCATATACAGTTGTGACCAAAATTATTCAACCCCCAATGCTGTAAAGGGGTTTAGGGACTATAGTTGTACATTTGGAATTGTATTCAGATCAAATCCTACAAGGACGTTGTAACTACCCAAATGCAACTAAAATGACATCAATTGTTTAAGTAATACAGTAGTAAATGGTTCTTATGTGGTTTCTTCATTGCCACAATTATTCAACCCCTTAAAGACTACCACTCTGAAGAACAGAGGTTCATACAGGTGCTTTCCAAGGTATTGAAAACACCTGTGGATGTCACCGAGCAGCAATCAAGCATAATAAGCACCAATGGCAGCTTTAAAATGACTGTGATACTCAGCTCCTTCTAGACATTTACTGGTGTGGTTACAAACATGGTGAAGGCAAGAGAATGGTCCAGGAAGACAAGAGAAGAGGTGATTTCTCTTCACAGGAAGGGCAATGGCTATAAGAAGATTGCAAAGATGTTAAACATACCAAGAGACACCTTAGGAAGCATCATTCGCAAATTCAAGGCAAAGGGCACTGTTGAAACGCTACCTGGTCGTGGCAGAAAGAAGATGCTGACTTCGACTGCTGTGCGCTACCTGAAGCGTAGAGTGGAGAGAAGTCCCCGTGTGACTGCTGAGGAACTGAGAAAAGATTTGTCAGATGTGGGTACAGAAGTTTCAGCCCAGACAATAAGACGCACACTGCGTAATGAAGGCCTCCGTGCCAGAAACTCCCAGGCGTACCCCCTTGCTGTCTCCAAAGAATAAGAAGAGTCGACTGCAGTATGCCAAAAGCCATGTGGACAAACCACAAAAGTTGTGGGATAGTGTTTCTGTGGACTGATGAAACAAAATTAGAACTGTTTGGGCCCATGGATCAACGCTATGTTTGGAGGAGGAAGAACAAGGCCTATGATGAAAAGAACACCTTGCCTACTGTGAAGCATGGTGGAGGGTCAATCATGCTTTGGGGCTGTTTTGCTTCTGCAGGTACAGGGAAGCTTCAGCGTGTGCAAGGTACCATGAATTCTCTTCAGTACCAGGAGATATTGGATGGAAACGTGATGCAGTCCGTCACACACACTGAGGCTTGGGAGACGTTGGACCTTTCAACAGGACAATGATCCCAAGCATACCTCCAAGTCCACTAGAGCATGGTTGCAGAGGAAAGGCTGGAACATTTTGGAGTGGCCATCGCAGTCACCAGACTTAAATCCGATTTGAGAACCTCTGGTGGGACTTAAAGAAAGCAGTTGCAGTGCGCAAGCCTAAGAATGTGACTGAACTGGAGGCCTTTGCCCATGAAGAATGGGCGAAGATACCCGTAGATCGCTGCAAGACACTTGTGTCAAGCTATGCTTCACGTTTAAAAGCTGTTATAACTGTAAAAGGATGCTGTACTAAGTACTAAGATTGAATGTCACTTGGGGGTTGAATAAAACTGATAATGCTGTGAGCACAGAAAAGACATTTGTGGTTATTTCATTATAACTGTTATGTTATATTTGTCTGACCTACAAGTGCCTCTTTAATGTAAATGTAAGCAAGATGACTGAATGATCAAAAGCAATGTCAAACTGGCCAAACACTCAATTTCAGTGGGGGTTGAATAATTTTGGTCACAACTGTAACTTACTATAAAGGTTCAGCCAATCATGGAAACATAAGAGGTTGTTATTAAAAAAGCTCCATCGCCAGCAGTATGATCAGGTATAACCTTCTTCACAGGTAATAAACTCTCGATGGCGGACACGGTCTCTCCAGCACCTTTGCCTAATCACAAATACTCCTGTACATGTGCCCGGTATTGCGCAAGTATATCTTCATTTGCAGTGCAATGTTCCATTTAAAATCATATAAATTACAATAAAAGTCCAACCAATCATAGAGACATATGTGGTTGTTATTAAAGCAGAACTTCAATCTCTCAATAAATATTGACTATTTTTAATCCTTATGCTGCTAGCATTGGTAAATAGATAAGAAGGTTTATTATAGTTAGTAGTTTTAAACTTGTTTTTACATTTATCTAGATATTTCCTGGTTTCCAGTCCTAGGCAAATGAAGTCATATATCCCAGGAGTCCTTAGAAGGGGAGGAGGGGTTTTGTCAGATAAGCAAACCCTCCTGTCTGCAGATGGATTCTAGGAAGTAAAAAGTAAATGCTACATGAACCTTCTGCCCTTACTCAAGATGTCCATGGCCTGAAATGTGGGGTAGGGGAGGTTGGGGGGTTTCAAAGTGATTTCTCAGTAAAATAAAGAATGGTGACATGAACGGATAGGTGAGTTTGCATTGAATATTAAAATATGAATTCAATTGTGGTTTTGGTTTGTGGTGCTCAGATGCAGTGTACTTTTGCTTTAAAAGGTTCTACAGCCAATAGTAGGATCAATTTTAGTAGCACTTCAACCCAATCAAAACAACTCCCATACATGTGCCAGGTATAGCCAGTATACTGTTATGATCAGAGGCGGACTGACCATTTGGAAACTCGGGCATTGCCCGAGGGCCCAGGGTCAGTAGGGGGCCCCATGAGATGCCCCTGGTATCTTTTTCATAGGTTTGAGTATGGGCAAGGACACAGGGGCCCCATAATCCCCTATTGCCCCATGGGTTGTCAGTCCGCCCCTGGTTATGATCTGCGATTGCTTTAGAGGATCAATAGCATTTAGTTCCATTGGGTTATTTCCAATATGTGATCGCCCAGTGCCCGCAGTCAGTTCTACATCTTTGGCTTGCTTCTTCTGGCTCATTCTTGATCCTGTCTCTGATAACTCACTTCTGCATTCCAGGGTGTTCCAAGTATCTATGGAGGCCGCAGACACAGTAGAGTTTCTACTCTTACTCGGAGGGTTCCATCATTACTTAAAAAAGTCAAGGAGAGAGAGAGAGAGAGCTTCTCCTTGCACAGTAACAACATTTTTTTTTGGGTAAAATAAAATATTACTCACAAAGATGGATTATACAGGCTCAGGGCACAAAAAGGGCTCCAAAATGGCAAATATCCACTTG